CCTAGCTTCCTTTCTTTTTTTGAGGAATCACTTCATCACCTGTCATTTCTAGTTTAAAGCCATTCCTACCAGATTGACCAGCCTGCTGGTGAAGGTACTTTTGCCCTATTTGTTCAGGTGGATCCCATCTCTTGCAAGCAGCTGATGATGCTCGGAATGGGTCTCACGTTTGTAGAAACTGAAACCCTATTGCCAACACCAACTGTGCAATCAGACATTGGTGCCAAAAAATCCATTGTTCCCTCTCACCAGGAAGGTTGAGGAGAACATCACCTGGACCTCTATGCCTTTTGCCACTGTGCCCAAATCCGTGTAGTCTTTCCTGATATTTCTCAGGTCACCTCTGCAGTACCTCCGGTTTACATGGAAAAGCACCAGGGATAATAGTCCAAGCCTTGGTAGCCTCTCTATGGCATCTCAAATGTGAGCTCCTGGCAAGCAGCAAACCTCCCTAGATGACAAAACAAATCCACAGATGGCCAGCCTCCATCCCCCACTGTTACACTATCACTCGCCTCTGTCTTCTAATGGTCTCAGTTGGCTTAGGCTCAACTACCAGATGAGAGCACCAGTTTTTGGTGCTCTCAGCTCCTCAGCGATGAGAGCAGTGAAGCTGCTCTTTAATTGGAAGTCCTCAGGGGGGCAGAAGCCTTCCTCCTGGTGTGAGAAGTCACCAGCTTTAAGATTATAGTAAATATTTCTTGATGCTAGGACATTTTAGTGGGAGAAATGACTGCTTTAGGAAAATTAGTTTATATAATTCTGCATTAATTATGTGTTAAGTAAGTTAGGGAAAAAAAAAAAACAAACCTGCGTAGGAATACAGTTCCTGTTTCCATTGACAAGTTATTCTGGGCTTAGTCGCATGAGAGAAGATTCTGGCTCCAGCATGGCGAACATCTTTATGTTCTCCATGCGCGCATGAGAGAAGATTCTGGCTCCAGCATGGCTCCAGCATGGAGAACATCTTTATGTTCTCCATGCAGATTGTTTATATTAAATCACTTTTTATATTTGATGGGGAAAAAATAAGGAGAAAACCTAACCAATTAAAACATAGAACTTGGTCACCTGTTCCTACCTACTGACTTGAGAGGGTTTTTTATGTCTTCTGAGGTGCTGAGTAGTGCACTCTAGCTTGTCAGCAACACTAAGGAATATGAGCACAGGAGGACCTGGCTGCCTTTCTCTTTTGGCTTCTAGATGGCACAAGGGTTGAACTCAGTGATATGTCTAAGTACAGTTAACAATGTAAAGCATGTTCTGCAAGTACTGACAAACCTATTTTGCACAGTTAAGTGATGCAGTGGAATATAATCTTTGACTTGCAATAGGCTCATGTCTTTTAAATCCCTTTCAAATGAGTTTCTCTTTGATTTAGAACAGCAGACTGACCTACCTCCATTTGTTATTTCAGTGCAAGATGCCAACGATATGATCCATAGACTCCAAGAGAGGGAGCATGAAGTGAGAAAGGTAAAGGATGGATGGGTAGATTTTTATAATATGTCTAGAGTAAGAGTCTTCTAAGAGTCTTGTGCTTCTACAGCAAGTCTACTTGCTTTCTGTATAGCACATATTTTTCAATACTATATATACTTGCAGTAAAACTTATTTTGGGGTGATTTCTGCACTTATAAAATGCAAACTGTAGAGGCATATATGTTCTAGGACTGCAAAGTTAATGGATCACTAGCTCCTCCTGTAATCTCCTGATGTATGGAAACTTTTTTTTTTTTACATTTCCTTTGCTCTATTTTCCCTTCTAGCTCAGACTATAATACTTGTCACATACAGGGAAAGCTTAAATATAAAAAAACCCTTATTTTCTGTGGAACAAAAAACAGCTATTAACCTACCAGAATGGAAATGTAAATCTTTCCTAGTTAGCTGAGAACATTGACCATATTTATATATATTGCTTGCTGAAAAGGAAGTGTGTTTTTCACTTGTGGATGGGTTATTTAATGAAGGGCTATATTATAGGAACATGCGAATCATTGGAATCTTTTCAGTTGGCTACACTTTGCTCATCTGAAATACATGTGCTCTGAATCTAAAATTTGGAAAATAACACAACAAATTGGTTTCATGTTTTCCCATTGCTCCTTCATGATTGTGTTCCTGTGTTATCTTTTTACTTGCAAAATGTTATTTATAATAATTCAGTTCAGAAAAACTGAAGACGTTTCTGTGGCCATCACTCAAAACAAGCTGCACCTTGATTTGTGTAAGCTGATAGTTGTGTTTTTCTTTCCTTTTTGTATTTGATGAAGATGGGCAGTCCAGTTGCAGCTGAATACTGGTACTGTGTGAACAGCACACTGCTGGACCCTGACAAAGTCTGCTTGTGCCTGACACTAGTGTAGGAATTGGTAGGAAAGTTAAGTAGGAAATTCTTACAGTTCTGCTACTGTTTGAAGTAAAACTTTAATAAAAAAATATTACTTATAAAATGAACAGCTGCTTAATAAGTATGGTAACTATTTTGTTTAAAGTATTAGTTGTGTATTTCCAGTCAATTTTATCTTTTTTCATCTGCAGTGGAACGTTACTAATAGCTATTAAGGATTTGTAGTGTTTCAGCTTGTATAGTAAGGCTTTTGCCTTGAAACTTTCCAGATGTGAGTAGAATTTTTAAAAATTATAGATAAAAGGTGTCACTGTAGTTCAGCTACTTGAAGAGAAATTCTTTTTCCTTACTTTTCTTTCTGAATTCACATGTTCCGAAAAAAAAATAAATACGCATTTTGGTAAGGTCTAGTGTCAACTGATGAGGGTTAGCAGCCCTTTGATGAAGTTAATTCAGTTTCTGCTGAACAGAATAAATTTTAAGATTATTTGCTTTACTAATTATCTTTTTTTAACAGTTCTGGTGTTATCAGCCAGGTAACAAATGGGAAATGATGTCCCTACCACGTTCTTGCCTAGAGTGTAAAGTTATTTGTGATTACAGGAATGTTACTGAAAGTACAATTCATAGAATCTGCTGTCTTGTTGAGTAGTCTTCCTATCCAGATCAGTAATATGTCCTTCATAGTTCAAGGTGTGGCTTACTTCAAGCTTGTGGGAGAAAACTTCAAAAAATGTTGTAAACTTCTGTCTAATACATTCTTTTATTTGTTTATTTTTATGTAGAAGGGTACAGGCTTATACTGGAAGCTACCTAATGCTTCCTATTACAGTCTTACTAGCATGGTAACATGTCTCAAAGCCTGTATCTCCATCAAATGGTCAATTTTTTTGTTTGGGATTTTTTCTTAATGTGTTTTTGGGTTTTGTTTGGGTTTTTTAATTTCAGCAAAAATAGTCTAAAACAAACAATAGTCTAAAAACAAAGTTTACTGAAAAAAAAATGTTTTTACAAATGTTAGCTTTTTGAGCAAATGACAGTAGAATAACATTAGAAATAAATACAGCCAACTGATATGAGTCAATGCTATACATGAGAAGGCTTTTCAAGTTCAAGCAGTATGCACTATTGAGTGAAAAAAATGGTTTCATAATCAGATTAGATTTTTTCCAAGTAACTAATGTCTGAACTTAGGTGTTGATATAAAAAAAGTATGAAAGATGTCACTGCCTGAGTATCTAAACTTTCTAGCACACCAAAGGGAATTCCCAGAACAGGAATTAATAAGGCAGCAACTATGTTTGTCATTTAGACAGGCTTTGGTTTGTATTTAAACCAGATTATGAAACTTTAAATCAAACTTCATGAAAACTAGTTTTAGCTCAAAACTTTTTATATTAACATGAAGGCTGAAAATCTTCCAAATTTATTGATGTCTCAGTATCTTACAAAAAAAGTACTAAAAAACAGGACAAAGCTTTATTAGTGTGGTCTGGAGTTAGAAACAACAGAGGAGGATAGAGCTGGAGTACTGAGCATCTTTGGGGGCGAGAAGATGATTCTCTGATGAACAAAGAAAAATCTACCCAAATCTTGCCAAATTAACAGCCATGGAGAAATACTATTTTTACTATCTTTAGATCTTCTCAGGTAGAGAAAAAGGTTTTTTTTCCTGTGCAGTGGGTAATAGTAAGTACCAGGCAGTAATGCAGATGGTAAAAGCCTAAAGCATAATGTACAGTTGCTGACAATTAAATGATGTTTTGGTTCAAATAGAAATCTGCAGTGTGGTGAGAAATGTTGCATTGCCTAATGCTTAAAACATGATAATTTGGAGCTGAGTATTGAGACTCTTTTTTGGATCCTGGCTAAATATTGTACCAATGCCATACAGCATCATGAATTGCCTAAGCCTTTCTCTTGGCTCAGGTACATCTGTCTGCATACTTTAGTTCACACAGCAAACTTCCCATATTACAAAGCTTAAGAAGTTTTACCTAAGAACAACACACTTTGTTTTGAAACCTGAACATGGTGTCATAATACTGTCTTCTTGTCGTCTGCTGATATATTCATACAGTTACAATTTCATTGATACTTCTCAACTGGAAGAGGAGAACAGTAGAACTTTATTTTTTTTCTGAGATGACTATGCTGGGCTTATTAGGTGCTGTTTTGTAGTTTATAATTATGTCTGACTTAAAGGGTAAACTTGATGAAATCAGACAGAACTTGTGTTCATCCTGTTTGATTGGTTGGGTTTTTTACTTGTAAGTTTAGACTACAGTTATTTTACAGGTTTTTGTTTGTTTTAATAGTCATTTTAAATGACAAAAGAGTAGGAATGTAAGCTATTTTCTGAACAGCTGTTCTATGAAGTATACTGTTTTTCATGTTTGTATGTACTCTTCTTCATGATATTTTGTTAGCTTACAAGTTAGGGTTTCTCCAGTTGGGAGCCCTGAAAACAGAAATAATAAAAACTAAAAATCAAGGTGTCTGTTCCTGGGTTTTGAATCACTACCAGGAAGACAAAATTTGTAATTAAAAGTTTTCAGCAGTCTGGCAATTCTGTAAATCTTTATTTCATTTTAAGTGTTTTGCTGACTGTGCATGGGCCAGAATTTATTTCCATTTATTTTTTACTTAGTTGGGTTGGTCTTTCGAAATTACAGGTTTAAAAGTAACGAAAATTAACGTTGAATTACTGTTCTTCCAAATATATATTTATATTTTATATTGTGGAAAAAGGGATTACTTTCTCATGCAACTGTACCTGCATTTTCAAACATGCAGGCATAATTTCCTTCTTTATACCAGTAAAAAATACAAATTTTAACAGATCAGAAGTTATTACTACTGCAAGTACTTTCTAGACTTCAGAAAAATCCAGTCTTCTACTTTTCTGAAATATAAACATGTATTTTTTCAGAAAGCATATTGTATTTTTGTGTTCTGTGATAAGACAGACATTCTCCCTAACTGAGCATCAGTACACGAAGGAAATTTCAATTTCTTAGTCTCTTAATGTGTCATATGGCACCTACAGAGGCCCAGCTACTGAAGGTCTTCAGATTACTGTTTGACCTGGAAGGTAAGATATTTGACATGAGTCATTGACTTGATGAATTCAGATGTGTGTGTTGTGGTCAGTGGAATAAAGCAGTGAAGTTAATAGCACTGAATATGAAGAAGTTGTGGTAGGAGTGGAGAGCATTGTGGTGAGAAGGCTCAGTATGGGGCATACCTGAAAGGATACTTGCAGAGCTGAGGTGTATAAGTCATTTTCTGTGCAAGAAACGGAGTCTTTTGGTGGCTGGTGCCACTAGGTGTCAATGTCCTTACACAGAAGTCTGCATCCTCAAGAGACTCTTGGTGATGGTCTGCTAAGTGAAGGGCTCTGCACCATGGTAGCAGCTGTTAGGAGACAGCCTTGGGGAAGGGCAGCCTTTATAGTACCTTAGCTCCAGGGCTGGTATCTGTTGCAGGTTGGTCTTGTAGGTGTAGGAGGAATCTGTCTTTGGTCAGGATTTCTCTCTCATACTGTTGTTCTGTGATGCCTAACAAGATTTGAGTGCTCAGTGAAGCTTAACCCACAGCTGTAGCACTCATAGGTCTCTCCTGCAGGGTTTCTTTAACTTCTAGTATGAAGCAAGTTAGCACTTCAAGTTCATCTGCTTTGGTTGAAACATCTGCACTGTAAGATCTGCATCCATTAAGGATCACACTTTATTTTTCCTGTTCACACACCTGTTTGGCAGGATTTAGAATATTGGTTTCAAGATTTTGACTGTGTTGCACACACAGACATAGCCACTCAGCAGTCATCAGTGTTTATGATCTGAAGTGCTGCTGAGAACAGTTGAGTTTCCCAGGAAGGAGAGCTGCAGTGCCTGAGGTGTGCACTGAGCTTCTGCAGTGTGGTGTTCCAAATCATTACGAGAGTGGGAGAGTGTAAACAGTATTCAAGTCCTTGTTGTCTTTTAATTGGTATTTCTTGTTACTCTTACTTGCTTGCTCTAGCATGTCTTCATTTAATGTTGCTGTTTTCTAAATTGTGTATTCCGATCTGCAACTTTGTTAAAGGTGTAACTCACAATTATATAGAGTTACTTAATTTCCAACATAAATATTACTCTAAAAATTAATTAATATTTTGGTAGAATACTGCTTGCCTTTATGTATGTAAAAACTAAGCATTTACATTAGTGCTCAGCTGTTAAATTTTTAGTTAGGCACAGTTTAGACAATGTACATAGCCTGGCTGCTATTATCCCTTTATTTCTTAATGTCACTTCTGTTGTGCCAGAACAAGCTAAAGACTGATTGTGCAGAGAAAGGCACAAGGTTCTTGAGGAGGAGAAAGGAATTAGACCACTGACTTTTTTATAAACTGAACTTCGCTATCTCGTGTTCTATAAACATCAGCAGTTGTTTTACCAGGTAAATCATTTTATATTCTTGGGTAGAAATGGCGCAACGACAATCAAAGTAGCAGGTAGCAACTTGAGTTTCATGTTCCTTACAAACTATTCCTGTTGTGAGGAGTGTGGGTTAGTCTGGCTGAAGTGTGTTTTGGGAAGGTGCTGTGTAATCCTATGAGTAAGCCTCTGATGTGCTGACAGTTTCAAAACCTGTTGAATATGAAGTGGGATACCCGTTGAACTAGTAGTACCCACTAGTTTTTTGCTGATACTGCCATCTGTTGCAAACAAAATGGATCTTGGTATCATGTTGTTACAATGTTTATAAAATGCTGCATGGCGAAAATGGTATAATTAGCCCACAATGTGTTATTTTAAAGAGCAACACACAGTGTGTGTTGAATACCTAAATGGGTTGCCATTACCTTTAGTTGACAAAAATCCCAGGTGGCTATTGAACATGTATGGTAGTATTTATTCCTACAGAAGCACTATACATGAAAAATAATAATTGCTAATGTATTATAAATAAAAAAAGAAAAAGAAAAAAGAAAATACAAAACAGATTAATCCTCTCTTTTGCTGAGAAATGGAGCCAATATAAGAACCCCCTAGTTTTATTGCAACTTTGGCATTTATAATATAAGGAGGCCAGACTTAATATCCATTCAAGCAAACCACAGAAGTGTGTCTCCTTTTGACTTGTGTATGGTCTCCCTTTCTAGATAGCTAGATTTATGGGGGGTGGGGGATTATTTTGTTTTGTTTTGTTTTTTCAAGACAGGCGTGAAAAGAATCAGGCTTACCAAAAGCCAAGCAGTATGAAAGCATAAGGCAAAAAATAACTTACTTGTAAAGGAGGACATTAGTCCCAGTGAGTGCTATCAGGCCAAAGCAGAAACACAAACTGCAAGTTTAAAAACATTGAATATCCATGTTGTTATACTCTATTTCCCTCTTTCTTTTTTGTGTTAGAGGTTTTCATCAAGACTAGTATATATAAGCATTGTGGTAAAATAGAAATGTAGTTTATTTCTAGTTTGAAAAATGTATTCAAGAATGTAAAACTTTATTTTTTAAATGACACACTCAAGAGGAAAATAGCAAATAACAAGAAAAGAGAAGCAATAAGTTGAGGGTTGGCTGACATGTAATTTATACATGTTTTATTAACCATGATAGTTTGCTGTGAAATGTAGAAGCATTCTATTTACATATATTTGACATAAAACCTCAAATGTTGTCTAGACTGTTGAAGTGGATCCTTTAAGCTCCAGTAATGCATGTATACCTAAATAATGGAGTATGTAACTCTCTTCAAGTTTTATTTTGTCCAGCATTCACAACTATAAAACATAATAGGCCTAGCATTTTCTTCGTGGTCATGCTCCAGTGCTTTTTTAGTCTGTATCATATATAGCACAAACCTGCCCGTGCTTCTGTATTAGATGTAGTTTTGAGTTTTTTTCAGACCACTTAATTGAAAACTAGATATATTTTATTTAAATTCTTTCTCTTTTGGTTACTTTCAGAACAGTGAACTCCCTGAGTCTGTGTGAGAAGAAAAACTGAAAGAAAAAAAAAAAAAGCAGTGAAGTAGTGTCCATGTCCTGGTTTATTTTTTTATAATAAAGGGGCTAAAAGTGCTGAATACCATGTTCCCAAAATCAGAAGTTCATTTTAAAAGAAAGTATTTGTGAAATAATAGAGATTTATATCAGCTGCTTAGAGTATTTCTAACAGTCGATAGTCAGAGGAGCAAATAATGATCTTTAGGAGCAAAGTATGATCTTCAGAAACTAACAGAAGTGAACGAAGTGAACTAGTAACTTTAAAATGTCTTTCCAAACATTTAATTAATTATTTTTCACCAGGCTGTAGTATAGAAAAGCTATTGTTGCTAATCCTGTGGTATTAATAGAATTGTATACATTTCACCATTTGTTTTGGATTGACTATACTTTGTAAAAATAAACGTTTTCTTTTTGGTTTCAACTTTTCATATATTTTCTTGCTCATTTTTCTTTCCTCTGCTGAAGTAGAAGCCCAGTTTCTCTGGTACTCTAGAGTTACGTGTATCTCATTAAGCCCTCTGTTTTAATCTGGAAATGATTGTTAAAACTTCTCATTTTCCTCCTCAGTTTCAGGCAGACAAGCTGATGGCTCGTGAAGAGAAGCGCGTCGCCCACTGTGAGGAATTCATGAAAGAACAACAAAAGAAACAAGCAGAGGTGGATGAAGAGCACAGAAGAGCTATGGAGCGCCTCAAAGAGCAGTATTCTGAGATGGAGAAGGAACTAGCCAAATATGCTTCTTTTTAATACTCTTTTTTTTAAAATAATGCTGGGTTTGTGCCATTTCTGTTGATTCGCACTTAAATTGAGATTCTTTTGGAAAGCTGAAACACACAAGGAAAAAGGAAAATTTCCTCTACAGATTTCATATAGGAAGAAAAGGTTTGCATGCTTTCTACTCAAGTGCCTATCTCTGCTTGTTTTGTCCAGGGCAGGTAGAATGCCAGTATTTCTTCTTTTGTTGGAAGGTGGAACTGGAAATTACATTGTGTGACTACATCAGCTCAGGGAGTTGCAAATTGGAATTCTCTCCCAGCTGCAGAGAGTATCATATCATTTGGGAAGAGAGACTGGGGCAATGCTAACTATCCCAGTGTGCACCCACAGCCCTTTCCCAAAAAGCAGGTGGAATAGGTTCCAACTGAGAGCTGAGAACTCACTGGGAAAACCATAAATCCCATTCATGGATTTCAAGAAAATCGACTTGTACAGAATATTTTGAAGCTTTAGCAATGAAAGATCTTGACAGAGTTTTAAAACCAGTTGTAATTCCAACTTTTGGATTGTATGTTCAGTATTATGAAGGAGACCTGACACAAACATGTTTTTTTGCTAACATAAAAATTACTGAGATCAGACAACAATTTATTTTCTCTCCTTTTAGATGTCTCAGGCTTCTCTTTTGAAGCTTTACTGTTATAAACCAAGCCAAAACATGCTGAAAACTAACTATGAGAAGCATATCGGTCTTTGTATTAGCTTTGTAGCTAGTACAGTATTTACCTTAAGTATTTTACATGTTGTTGGTTTACTTAGGGTAAGCTTGTCAGAATTTTATGAAGCAATTGAGGAAAGATTTTTTTGTTTCTTTATCAGCATAACAAATGAGCAGATTAGTGGTAAAATGCCTGTAGGTAGTGATCTGCTTTCTTACTGTTACTCTTACAGGGTATGTAAAGCACCCGTGTTGCTTGCTTGTATTTAATACATGCAGTTAACAGCAGTGTAATTGAAGAAGTTAAGTGAGCTTAATCAGCTCATTAACCAAGCAAAATGAGACACAGAGTACTCTAATGAAATTTTCTGCTAGCTAACCGTTAGTACAGGAAATATCTTTCCATCATTTAGTCGGTGTCCAATGTAGAATGGAACCAGGTAAAAATAAACAGAATTTACCTTTTACCTGTATTGCAACAGTAATATGCCAACAATGGCTGCTTGTGTAAGTTTATGGCTTGGTGTCAAGGCTCCATTCCTGGCAGCATGTTGATAGTGTGATTAAAGCTAGTAGAGGAGATGGAATAAGTATTTGAGATTTCTTTCAATAACACTGAATTCCTGCCAAGCTGCTCTGCCTGCTACTGTAGGCCCAACAGCTTCATCAATCATCATCATGTATCTGGACTGAAAAGAGGATTTGCCGACACTGGGGCACACTGGAATGCTGTTAATTCTCTGTTGTGAATGGAAAAAACGTAGATGTCTCAAAAGTATCCCACACATGAAAAAGAGGAAAGCTTCTTTTAGAACAACCCCTATTTGAATAGAAGGTGACCTCTGTAATATTTTTCCACTTATGTACCTTTGATGGATGTTGTAACTAAGCTCAGACTTTGATTTAAAAAGTTCTTGCCTGTCTTCAGAATTGAGTGTGGAATAGTTTTGATTGTTTTGAGCACAGACTGAAAATGGCTTCTCTCTTACCCAGGTTATTTGATGTATAGGTACGCAAAGCCTAAATATCTTTCTAAAAAGATGCATTCAACTGCATATGGAATTCATTCTTATTTTTGCACTGATAATTTTTGTTAAGGTTTAGATATCTAATTAACTGTGCACTGGAGCTGTAGATTTTAGATTTTTTGTCAATTTGAGGGCTCTTAAGCAATGATAAAAGTGTTGTAAGTTGGATATTCACTGGAAAAATAAAGTGGTATTTCCAAAATCTTCTGGGATGTCTGCTCCTGATTCTTTGGAAAGCTTCTGAATACTAACACTGAAATGTATTTATTCCTCTTTTAGAATGGTACCGGTATTTTTATGCTGAAGATCATTTGAAAACACTTCATAGTCTGTATGTGCCTGTTGGCCCAGTTGTTGTTGTGCGAACTACCTGAAAACAATTTGTTGCTGAATTATTTCGTTCATTAACTTTCTTTTTTTTTTTTCTATGATTTGCTGTAGGTTGTGAGGTACTAGGAAAGGCTTAATTGTCTTTGAAGCAACTTGTCAATGTTTAGGAGAAAATCTATTTTTTTTTTTTCTGTCCAAATGCTTACAAAAACTCAAACCTGATGTGTCTAATACTATCTCAGAACAGATCTGACAGATAAAAAATATTCCTCTTTTCAGCAATTTTTTTAGCAAGGTGGAGCTGTGGTCTGTCTCGACACAATAGTGCTCCACAGTGGGACTTCCTTTGTAAGATACAAATTTTTGTTACTCTACCGTTTGGGAGAAATACTAAAACAAAGAGTTTAAAAGTTGTTCTTGTATCATTGATGTATGAAGGAAGTGTTTTGCCTTATACACTTACAATACTTACAGGGCTGAATGTCATAGTTTAAAAAATCTTGATTGTTCATTTAATCTCTGTTAAACTCAATAGAATTTTACATTGGGTTCCATAGGAGGAGAAAAGGGTCCTCAACACTCAAGGTAACTTTAGAATGTCAGGTGAGTTTTGCAATCCATCTTTGCACCAAACTATGCATGTAACTTTTCCCTAAACTATTAGTGCTATTTCTTATGTTTATTGTATATATTATATATATATATAACTGTTCTTTTTAACTGAAAGAGAGCTTTGATGTCATGTAATCACTTGAATATTTTCTTGGTCTTTCTGTTCTAATGAATACATAGCAAGAAGCTGGTATGTTCCTTGGAACTGCCATGTGAAATCTGCTGCTGCTGTATTTAGGAGTAATAAGAAATTGAGAAACTGAAGAAATACTTAAGGATTTGCTTTGTTTTTAACTGCTTTGCTTTAACAATGAGCTGATGGAATTCTCCTTGGAATGCTTTATATGTAAGGCCTATCACATTTTCGTATCACATCTTCCTCCTTGTGAAGGAGGGAGAAAGCTGCTTTATTTGCTCTTCCACTGTTTCTTTCTACACTAACACAAGGTAATACTTCTATAGAAGAATTCAGTAATTACAGCTGGGACATTGCATCTTCTCTGGTATTTTAATTTATGGCTTGTTAAATCTTTCCTCAGAAACTGTGGAGTTTTTTTCAGTAGTGAAATTAAATAGCAGATACATGGCATAATCAGTCAATGAATTGAATCACATGGAGTTCACTCCTGAGTTGAAAAGCCTTTCTCACTCAAGGCAATGGATTTTTACATTTACAGATACTCCCCAGTAGGCGTCAGTGCAAGCCTGAGAAGGAAAGTTACAAAGTGGTTTTGTATGAGGTATAGAATGTAAATGTTTATGTTCATTTATAATACAATATTTTGTATAAGTACACGACATTTTGTGGATTAATCCGTGTGCTTTTAAATAAAAAAAATGACACTACTTAGCAGCAGCATTTTGCCCCATTTGTCCTAAAAAATGCTTACAAAAGGTCACTTAAAATTATTTAAGGTGCGCTGATATGAATAATGTTTACCACAATACTTATGTGTTCTAATTAAGAATTATTATAATCTGAAGTTAGACCCAATGTCAGATTAAAACCTTCACGAGCTGTATTCTTACCCTGCTCTTCAGCTCAGTGGGTCAGGTTTTCTGAAGGTTTGAGAGAAAAGTTCACTCTTATTGATAGAGATTGTGCCATAATAAATAATTGGGGACTTCTGTGAAAAAAAAAAAATAAATAAAAAAATAATGAACAAAATTATCATACCACACACTTTGAAACAGGCAAATTATTTTAATTGTTTATAGTTAAATACTCAGAGTAGTAAAGATGCAGTATACTCAGTGCTGTTGGTCCAGTTTGTGGTTTGTGTGTTAAGCTACGGCAGAATCTGCACAGAGTGCAGCTGCTGTAGTGGGATTTTAATGAATAAAACAACTTTCTTAAATACTTCAGTCATAAGAGTATTCAGAAATTCCAAATGACATAGATATTTGAAAGAGAAGAGAGAACTAAAAAAATGCTTAAATCTATTTTGGGGCAATTAACAAAGGGAGTTTTCAAAAGCTGGAATGAAATCCCTTAGAAATACGTTATTCCACATGGGTGTAGCTTCAGTTGTGAAGAGTCTAGAGTATTGCCTGCAATACCTTTGCAGTTCTATATGTTTTAATGGGCAAAGTAGGAACAAATTTGTTTAGGACAATGGTGAGCATTAGAAAGAAGAAAGGGTTCCACAAGTCCTGCTAGACCTTAAAAGCTGTAAATGTGAAAATCTGGGGCTGAGCTTGGTGCTTCCTGACTAGGAATCTCATAGACCTAGCCACTGAGGTTTCAGATTGCTGCCTCGGGTGCTTTATGTGGGCCAAATCATAACCTGGGTGGCTCAGATATCTATTTATTTATTTAATTTTACAGCCAATGAAGAAAAAGCTGATCCTTTCAATATGAACTTTAGATGCAATTACATTGTTGGATGGATAATAATGTATTTTTAAAGTAACTTAAAATAAAACCTTACGTTCCCTCAGTCTTCCCCTCTAATGACTCACTGGGTGGATACACAGAAACCTGCAACCAAGTATCACTGATTTTTTATCAGACACAGCATTTAACTTGATGTAATGGAGATTAGTGAGAACCAAAGCACGGTTTATGGCTTTTGCTTGTTCCTCATTTCTAACATTTTGAGATGGATATAATTTATAACCTTATCTGGTACTTCATGACATATGGTCCCTATACTCTGTAATCTGGAAAGAAGAATAACCTTTGTTCCTGCTGCAGTAAATGCCACAGGACTTGGACAATAAGCATTTCTAGTTGTCTTTGAGTTAATTGTAAACCAATTTGCAAGCTTGCTTTGAAAAGCTTGTGGGGTGGTACCTCACCAGTGCTCTCCCAAACTAGGCTATGCAAAAAATGCCTCTTG